CAATGGAGGGAGCGGGGATGGAGCAAGCAGGGGCGGGGCCTCGGAGAAGGGGCAGGGGTATTTGGTTTTGTGTGATTAGAAATTGGCAACCCTAGTACAAGGCCCCTCTGACCAGCTGGGGCAGGGGAATCATAGTGGGACTGGGAACTGCTGTCCTGCTGAGGGGCGGGGTTAGTGGATGGTTCAGGACCAGGACCCCCGAGGATCAGTTGGAACCAGGGCCCCTATCCACCTGGAGGACAGGTTGGTTTGGGACCAGCCCCTTTCTCCTTGGGTCAGGTTCCCACTTATCCTGCTAGAAGTGGGGGAGTCTCAGGTCTTCACACCCTCCCCTGATCACATGACACACAGGCCATCCCCCCTCATGGAGAGAGCCATCCCGCAGGGCTCTGGGGCATCAGTGTGTGGGGGGGGGGAGCTCCTCTGCCTTTACCCTAAGCCCACTCCTGATGTCACAGACAGGGACCCATCAAACTCCTGCTGCTGGTTCCAGCTGCTGAGACAGCCCCCACCCTCCCCACCCCCTGCAGGAGCCCCAGCCTGGCTTGAGGTACAACGTGCCCCCCGTGAGCTGCTAGAAGAACCCAGCGTGCTGTACAGGGGCATCTCCAGGCAGGCTGCCGGACAGGGTGGGGAACGGGTGCGGAACGCCAGCTGGAGAGAGCAGCACGGTGGCCTTGACCAGCTCGTTCAGCTCCCAGGGCTATGCTGCAGAGGGGCGCCAGGCAGCTGCATACACTGCCAGTTACAGTGGACCTTTCCTTCCCTTCCCATCAGAGCCCAGAGCTGTGCAGGGTCAGTGAGCAGTGGCAGTTAGAACTGGAGAAGCCCTTTGGGGCACCAGGCCCAGTGTGGGGAACTCCCCAGAGTCGTCTCAGCTGGGAAAGGCCAGTAGGGGGCGTGCACCTCCCCACTAGGCCAGGCTCCTCTCTGAGCCCAGCTGGGCAGCAGCAGAATAGCACCACCCCAGCGCTGTTCGAGCACTGGCTACCAGGGACCTGAGAGGGGGCATTCGGAGACAGAGCTTCCCTGTATGGGCAGGGATTTTGCCATGGGACTCCCACTAACATTCACAGCAGTGCTCATGGCTCAGTCCCGCCTGCACCCGTGAAGGCCCAGACCACTGCCGGGCGGCCTGGGCGTCACCCGGAGCTGGCAGAGCCCAGCTTGGAGATAATGTGCCCAGCTGCCCACACATTGCCAGGATGCAGCACGTGATGAGCCTAAACTGCCCTTTACATGTTTCTCAGACCTTAATGTGGCCCTTTGAGCAGGGGCGGCTCTATGTTTTTTGCCGCCCCAAGCACAGCAGGCAGGCGGCTTTCGGCGGCTGGGCACGTCAATTCGGCAGCATCCGCTGGTGCTGCGCCATCGGTATCCCCGCCACCGAATTGCCACCGAAGCCGCGGGACGAGCAGACCTCCCACAGGCATGTTTCCGAAAGCTCCCTGACTGCCGCCCTCACAGCGACCGGCAGGCCGCCACCTGCGGCTTGCCGCCCCAGGCACGCGCTTGCTGCGCTGGTGCCTGGAGCCGCCCCTGCCTTTGAGGTGGGACCTGCCCCAATTCTCCCTGCTCTGCACTGGGGCAGGCGGCCCTGGGCGGTATCAAGCGTGGCAGAGGAACCTTTCTGCCTTTTCCCGCACCCTGCTCAGCAAGGTTGTGCTAACGGTAAAGCAGATGTGTCCTCTGACCTCTGCTCAGACTCCCGTGGTCTCGGCCCCGACATGCCCCACTGATTGAGCGGGGCAGATTTCACAGCCCTCCTGTGCTGCTGTCACAGTCGATCCCACTCTCTCCACCTCCTGTGTGTGGGAAATTCCTCTGTGCCAGGCTACAGGTGACTCTGCGCCCTCCCCGCGCCAGTCCTAGGTCTGCTAACAAAATAGGAGAGCACCTCGGTGTACCGTGTTCTGTGCCTGAGCTGGCTGCTGCCCGCCACTCCAGAAGCAGCTGCATTTCACTGAGTGTGAATCTGAGTACTTTGTGGGTAAAAGATCCACAATAATACTGAAAATAGTAGCAGGTTCCTGCTGCCAGCTCTTTGTGCCAGGAGCTGGTTTTGTTCTGTGTTTGTCCACATCCTAACACAGTGGGGCCTCTGGGAGCTGCCTGCTTCTGCTAGCCCCAGTGGACACAGCAGCTCTGCACAGGTGGGCCAGCTCCGAGGAGAAGGTTGTGCTGGTGACTGTTGCTCTTTCTTGTGCTGCAGAACCAGCCCCAAGAGCTAACGGGGCCCAGCAGTCAGTGCCTCCCAGGCTGGAGTGCTCAGAAATACCAGGCGGGGCCGGAGCATAACAACAGCTGACGAGGGCAAATTTTCAGTTTGTTCCGGGAGCCAAATCCTCAGCTGGGGTAAATCAACAAAGCTCCATTGCCTTCAGCAGAGGTTGGCTGATTTACTCTAGATGAGGATCTGGCGTCAAGGCCTGAACTAAGCAAAACTCTTTCAGAGCTGGTCAGGAAGTTTCCTGTGTTGGGAGAGAAGAGCTTGTCAGTCCTGCTGCTGGGAATGCAGGCCTTGCCTCAGCCCCCTCCGCCCCCGGCCCCGGGTCCAGCCAAAGTGCTGGTACTAGGTGGCTCCGTGACACAGCCCAGCCTTCCCAGGCTCTGAGCTTTGCAGAATTCCCCAAGGAGTCACGCAGTGAAACTGAAACCCACAGGCAGGTACATTCCTAACGCCTAATGACAAAGTGCGCAGAGCGCCAGCCACACTTTCCTAGGCCGGGGTGCTCGAGAGAAATGCTACACGACCGGGCTGCTCGCAAAGCGCAAGGATTCTGAGACTGCCCCAGGACATGAGAACCAGCCTCTGCCGAGTGCCTGAGTATGCGGGCGTGGATTGCTACGGTGATCGCCTCTGTGGCAGCAGGTACTGCTAAGCCCCAGGAAGGAAGGCATGGCTGGGGGGCAGCAGGAACTGGCACTAGGGAGATGCTGATAAAATGCTGATGGAGCAGTTTGTTGCAGGGTGATGTGCTGATACGTTCCGGAAGGTTCCTGCACAGTGTGGAAAGCCTGCTCCTCCCATGTCTGCCTGAGTGCCCATTGGCTTGGGCTCTGAGCAGGGTGGTGCTGCCACTGCTGCTGAGAATGCTCTGTCCTCAGCACCTCTCTCCAGGGGCATCCTCCCTGTGGGGCGAGCTGTCTCGGCGGGTCCCCAAGCTGGAGGAGATCTGTGACGTCACCAGCTCCCTGTCTGCTAAGAGCTCAGGGGATGGGGGCCAGGACTTCAGATTTAGTCCTAACATGAATGGGAAGCAAGTGGAGTTTGTGGCACCCTCAGTCTGATGTGCCCACCCAACCCACATTGTGTATGAGCTGGGCACCAGTGGCAGGCTTTGTGTAGCAAGGTGCAGTGGTCCGGCCTGGAGGCTGATGGAAAGGCCTGTCACTGCAGCCAGACCCCTAGGTGTGGGAAGGGCCCACAAGGCCAGACAAGGACAGGTACCGGAGTTTGAGGGGAGGGAGAGTCTGGTCCAACTCCCTTCCGGCAGCCAGAGGGCTCCATGTGTATCAGACATCTGAGCAGGGCGAGGGGCTGTGACATCCCAGCACTGTCCCACCCCTGCCCATTTGGACACCCCATCCCAGCCTTTGCTACTGGGCTTTGGCTAGCAGGGTGAGCACTCCAGCTGCTAGGTCTGTGTGTGTCTCATGCCGGGTGTGCAGGGAGGAAGTGAGCAGGGGAACCAGTGGGGGGCACAAGGAGGAGAGATGGGAGACGTTGGGAAAGGAAAGGGGGCGAGGGAGGAGGCACAGGGTGAGAAAGAGAAGGGTGGGAAGAGAGGAGGTGGAAAAGGGACAAAGGCAATGCAGGGAAACCACTCCATGCGTGGTCCAATGTGCTGGACAGAAAGAGATTGACCATGTGTGCCTGGCCCTTGTATTCTTTGAAAAGGTGGGGGCTATGCAGGTATTTCCCCCGAGCTGTGGGGTGCATTGAGCAAGCTGTGGGGAACGTGTGCTGCTTGCCCTGTGTCCTGGCCCCCAGCTCTCTGTAAACCAGAGAAGCCTGTGAGCCTGTGTCAGCTGCCAGCGGCCCCAGTGGATTGCCAGGGCAGAGGACAGCGACAGCCCCACCCTGCAGCAGCCAGGAAGATCCCGCTTTCCTCTGACACTGGGAATCGGATGGTCCCCCCATGATGTAGCTCAAAGCAGCTGCCCTGGGCCTATGAACCCACTGCTCAGGACACTTGCCAGGCCAGGAGCTGGCCCTGACAGTCCATAAGTGTAATCCCCCTTTGTGCAGTGTCACCAGAGCCCTCCCAGGAGCCAGAGGAGGGGGCAGTTACAGTGGGGTGACCATGGGGGCAGGAGACCCCAGTGAGGAGAGGAAGCTTGGAGTCACTCCGCCTCAAAGATGACCTTTAAACTGAGGGAATGTGGTGGATTTGCTCTTTTTATCTGGATGTGTGACTGGCCCCAGTCTGTGCCATGATTTCATGGTGATTGGGGCACCATAGAAACACACAGCATCCAGCAAACCCTGGCTAGGCTCAGCCTTTGCACGGTGCCAGTGGGCATGGCTGGGTCAGGACTTCCCCTTCCTCTGGCTGATGTTGCCCAAGGGGAGGGGGAGCTGCTGTGCTCTTATATATCTACACGAGCGTGAACACCAGCGGGCTAGCACAGTGTGGCAGATCCCAGCTCCCACGGCCACTGGGAGAGCGTTGTCCACTGGCCAAGGGGGGACTCATGCAATGGGTGGAGCTCCTTGCTCCATTATAGGTAAGGGGTCTTGGCCGCCAGGCCAGCTAGTGATAGGGGAACTGTTCTCAAGAGCTCATTGGAGGCCTTGGCTTGCTTTGCCTTCCAGCAGACCCTGTGCTTCACTGGCTGGAGCACGTCCTGTCTGCTCTGCCAACGCAAAGCAGATCTGGCCTGTAGTGTTTGTATCTATACCCCACAGCTGTGTGGAGCTTGACAGGGGCTTCTGGGAGATCCCTAGCTACTTTCTGCCCTCCTCCTGATTATTGCCATCTCTGTGTTCATTGCAGCTGGCAGGACCACAACCAGCGAGGAGCTGGAAGACATGCTGGAGAGCGGGAATCCAGCCATCTTCTCCTCCGGGGTAAGTGCACGGTGATTTCTCCCTCTCAAGCCCACGCTTAAACCTCAGCCCTCAGTTTCGCTAAAAGAGGATGGTTCTGACAACAGCACCTGTGTGCAGTGAAACCCAGCCCCAGCCTGACTTGAGTGTGTGCTGCCGGCCCTGGCTACGCTGTGCAGCCATCTGGACCCTATTCACTGACCCAGGTTGCTGTCAGCGTGGTCGGATTGTGTCCACAACAGCTTTCTTCACAGCATGAGCATGTTGCAAGGGAGCTGCCGAGTCTGCACCCACCGCACTGCCTAACTCTCTGCACGTTATCAGAGCATGCCGGGAAAATCCGGGCATCTCTTCCATAGTACTGCAGCAGGGACAAGGCGCCAGAGAACACGCACACACAGCAGCCCCAGCGGCATGTGGGGCAATGCACACCGGGGTGACCTACTCCAGACTGGGAGGAAGGGGCACCGGCTAGCTCAGGCATGGTTGGCAGGTCCTCTCTGCCCTGTAGCACCAGCGTTACAACCAGGGAGACAGCCCTGTGTTAGCCCAGGCTTCTAGCAGTGATGAAATGGCCAAGTATTAACCTGCCTGCAGCAGGTGTGCAGAGCATGTCATGCCTCCCATCTGCCCCTCCATGCTCAGACACCACTCCAAGCCTCGTCGCAGCATCTTCTCCCCAGGCTTGAACTCATGGACGCGTCCACGCAGGCCCTACGTGCTGCTCTGCTTGTTACGGCAGGCCAGTGCCTCCCCAGCTGGCCGTGCTTTCCTTAGTAATACGCTCCAGCACTTCCTGGCTTGTGCGCCCATCACAAACCAGCCCCCCTGGGTGCAGCGGAGGTGAGATGAGGAGGAAGTCTGATTTTTCCTCTTTGTCCCTCCCTGCTGCTGGGGTATTTCTCTGGGCGAAGGCAGCTAGCAAAGCCTACCCTCCTAGGCCCCCTGGAAAGCTCTCCGGACCTGCAAGCAGCTGGGGATCCCGGAAGCAATGACTGACCAACGGTCCCAGTAAATAGCATGAGCCAGCCCCTTGATCTGTGACAATGAGCCTCTGCTGCCAGTCCCCTGGAAGTCACTTGATGCCTACCAAGAAGTCAGGGTTTAAGATACTGGCCTGGATTTTCTCTGCAGCTCCCACATGGAGCCCAGGGATGCAAGTGTCACTGACGAGAGCCCTGGATTTACACTCCCCACGTGCAAGCGACTGATGCCAGCACTGACTGTTCTGCTCACTGGCATAGGATCAGCACCGGGAAACTGCTCCCTCCACAGTCTCTCCAGCCCTGCTGGGTCACTAGATAGCAATTTACAGTCCCGTCATTGTTACTGCTGCCCCACTTCAGTCCCTCTAGTAGCCAGCATCCCCTGAGCGGCTAGAGCTGCAGCTCCTTAGACTCATAGAATCAGAGAATCTCAGGGTTGGAAGGGACCTCAGGAGATCATCTAGTCCAACCCCCTGCTCAACACAGGACCAACCCTCCTTGCTCTGCATTGTCTGGAAGCTGGGATTCAGGGGGTAGGAAATCGAAACAGCCTCTTACCAGGCCACAAGCAAAGTGAGGGAAAAGGCAAGTGTTGGGTCAGAAGGATGTAATTTCAGAGTTTGCCGTCTCACCCCCTGCTCAGACTAGAGACAGAGGCAATTCACCACCGGACGCTCCCTGGCCGGATCAGGCAGAGGCTTCATGAGACCATAGACCTTAAACTCTCACTGTTCCTATGGTCCAGCCATCCTTTTGAAGGCTAATCCCAGGCTGAGCCTGCGGAATCCATCTTAACTGCCAGTGCTGCCTAGGGTGAGAAAATGCAGCCAGCAGCCCAGACCTCATCCAGTAAAGCGATGGCGGTGAAGAGAGGCACCCTGGGGAGCAGAGCCCCTTGCACATGCAATGCCACCCAAGGTTAGGTTCCCTGCTCCAGACAGCTGGGATCAGGGACAATACCCTGCCCTGGCATAGGCATGAACCATGGGGCTGTGCCAAGTGTGTCTGCACTATAAGGGGACTGGATTGGCAGTGCCCTATGGCCTCCATTAGCCACAGATGAGATTGAAGCACGGGGAGTGGCAATACTCTTCCCTCTCTCCGTCCTGCCCTGGAGAGACCAGCACTCTCCTGGGCCTCTGTACCAAGCCGGACTGGAGCCAGGGCTGTAGAGGGGCACGAGCTATTGCCCTGAGACCCCCCCATCATTTCACACAGGCACTGAGCAGCGTTAGAAGGGGACAGCTTCCAGCCACTGCTAGTCTGGGCTTTCTTTGGCCTGGAGGGGAAAGACTCCAGCGCTGGATCCCAGAGCCAGGCAGGCCCCTGGCTAACCAGAGCCAGGGCGGCTGCGTGGAAAAACACCCCATTTCCCAACTGAGCTGCACCCCTAGAGTGGGCAGGTCCCTGCCCTTCAGCAGGGCACTTCCCTGGGCGCCCCCTGCTCCATGTGGCATGCAGAAACACCCAGAGCTTTCACCCAGCCCGCGAGGCAGGAGGGATACAAGGGGATGTGCCCAGCCCCGGGGAGGTCTGCTGGCCCCAGCTCTCTGCTAGCTATTCTCAGACTGGTGTGTTCACACGGACAGGCTGGCAGGGTTCTCCGCCCCACATCCCATCCACTAGCACCCGCTGGGAGGAGGCCCCGAGCCTTCAGCTCCTGCAGGGAAAGGACCGGGAGCAGGGGCAGAGGCAGAAGCCCAGCTCAGTGCAGAGGGGGGTCAGCGTCTCTCGTGGGAGCAGCTCGAGAGCCTTCGGGGGAGCACATCCAGCTTCGTGCTGTGGGACAGCGTCACCAAGTCCTGGCATCACACATGGTCCCGGCCCCAGAATGACACCTGCTTGTGTCTGGTTGTGGGAGCCAACTCCAGCTCTGCCAGCACTGTCTGCCCATGTGCCCTAGGTTACATGTGATGTCTGGGCAGCCTGTGGGCACAGTCACTGCAGTAACACCTGTCACGGAGTCCCCGGGCGATGCTCTGGAACTGCTCCCCACAAAGCCAGTCAGGACTCTGGGGAGCCTCCTCTCCCATGGAGCAGACTGTCTTCAGGGCAAGGAGCTTACACGGCTTCACCTCCTGGGTCTCTCCTGGGAGCATTCAGCATATGCCCCTCCGTGCGCTTCCCACAGCGAGTCCGCCCAGGCGGGGTCCTGGGGAAGCCAGAGGGTCCTGCACGCACCCCCACTTCGCAGTCAGACGTGACTCTTAGCCAGCCAGTAAAACAGAGGTTTATTAGATGACAGGAACACAGTCTAAAACAGAGCTTGTAGGTACAGAGAACGGGATCCCTCAGCCAGGTCCATTCTGGGGCCCCGCGAAGCAGACCCCTGTCTGCCCTCTCTTCCAGTCCCCAGCTAGCTCCAAACTGAAACCCCCTCCAGCCCCTCCTTCTCTGGGCTTTTTGTCTCTTTCCCGGGCCAGGAGGTCACCTGATCTCTTTGTTCACCTTTAGCTATTTCCTTGCAGGGGGGGAAGGGGCCCTGGCCATTTGTTGCCAGGGCGACAGTGTGTCAGTGATTTATGCACACTGGCCTTTATCCCACCTCCTAGAGACTTAAGAAATGCATAGGGGAAACTGAGGCACCCACACAGTATTCAGAGGAAACATTAAGAACAGTCCCACTTCGTCACAACACCTGCATGCGGATAGGTACCCGACCCTAGTGTCTCTGCACCTGCCATTGCACCTCGACAGGCCTTTAGAAAACATGGCTAAGGAACCTGCCCGGACTAGTGCCCTGGGAATGGCGCATGGTGCCCGTGCCCAGGAGAGTCCTCCCTGCTGGCTGAGCCACCCCCCAGGAATGGGCCCTGTCTCTCATTCTCCTGGCAGATCATCATGGATTCCAACATCACCAAGCAGGCGCTGAACGAGATCGAGACGCGGCACAGCGAGATCATCAAGCTGGAGACCAGCATCCGGGAGCTGCACGACATGTTCATGGACATGGCCATGCTGGTGGAGAGCCAGGTCGGTGGGGGCAGGGGCCACGCCCGCTCCACGCTGCTTGGTGCTGCAGCTTCTGCTGGGCCCTAGGATCCCTGTCAGGTGCAGCAGCAGAGACAGATCCTGTCTGCTCCAAGGGAGGGCACTGGGGCCATGTGCATGACTCTCCTCCCCTCTAGTGCCCTGCCCACTCGTGGGGAGATGCTGGGCCTGGGGTGGGGATGGAGGGCTTGCCATGCACCCTGGCAGGGAGTATGTGCCCCACGTACAGCCCCGCTGCAAGCAGGCACCTGCCACTGACTTCTGCAGAGTCTCAGCTGCTGCCCCAGGGCTGGAATTGGTCCCTTCTCTTCCAGGTGGCCGTGTGGTCATTTTCTGGGGGCTGGCACCTCCTCCCCCATTGTCCTAATGATCCTTGTGCTCCACCATGGCTTCAGAGCCTGCCGTGTGCTAGCAGGTCCCAGCAGGGCCCTGTGGCAGATGGGGCCCTGGGGGCTGCAAGGCAGGGCCCTGAGGGGAGAGGTGTAGAACAGGGGAATGGAAGGACCTTGGGGCACTAGGTGCTGTACGTGGACAGGGAGGTGGTGACCTCGCAGAGAGGCCTGTCTGCTCCTGGAGTCCCTCTGCAGGAACCTTCTGTAAATGGGTTTCCGACCCATTTACTGGGCCCTGGGAGCCCAGAGGGAGGTGCCCACGGGGATAGGCCCCCGAGCATGCCCTCCTAGAGGGGCTCACACTGCGCTCTCTGGAGCAGCAGGCAAACAAGCCCAGCCAGCTTCCTCGGGCAGTGAACATGTAGCACTAGGCCTGGGCTTCCTGGCAGAGCCTGTGAACCTGGCCTGCTCTCGTAGGCCCCTTCCTGACCCCTCTTCTTGCCTGACATGCTGCCGCCAACCCCTTGGATGAGCGTGTCTCAACCAGCAGGTAACGTGCATGCCCTGGTGTGGGCCAGACATCTGCATGCTCTCGTCTGCATGGCCTGTGCTTCCTGCATGTGTGTGTAATGCCTCCCCAGCCCAGGGACCAGCAGTCAGGAGGGGCAGGATCCCGGGAATGCTGGGCACCACTCACTCCAGCTCCCCTGGGACTGCAGCGCACGGGTACCTCGAGGCGGTGGAGAGTGAGGCCGGTCCGTCTGCCTGGGCCTTTGCAGCCGGGCTGCAGAGGGGTGGGGCCGTGCACCTCAGCATGGGGGGCAGGTGCCATTGCAGCCAGGCAGCTCCCGGAGAAAGAAACTCCCCCCACCTCCGGCTCCAGAGCTGGAGCTGCAGGACACTGGCCCCTTGGCAGCCTGCTCAGCCCTCCCTAGCTGTGCGGAACGTCGCAGAACTAGCAACCTGTGGCCGCGCAGGCGTCAAGCCGGTCCCCCAGTGCGCCAGGAGCCTGTCTCTGCCTCTGGAGATGTTCCAGCGATTCCCTTCTCCACTCATCACCTGGCTGGCTCAGGCGCGGGCGGGTTTTTGGGCTGGGCGAGTAGTTCTGTTTGTCTCCTGCTGGCCCCCAGGGAGCCCCTTGCAGAGTGTGGGCTGTAGCCTGTGCCCAGCCTGGGATGGCATGTGAGGGGACACTGCTCCATGCAGAGGGCTGGGCCTGGACAGCAGCAGCCTTGCGCCCCCCGCTGGCACTGGCAGGCCTTGCAGGATCCAGGCTGACCCACCCCCTTGTTCCGGGGGAAGCATCACATGGTGCCGAGCTCTCACTGCTTTGATTGGGTGTTGATCTGAGGGTGGGGCCAGTTCCAAGCCATGTCCCCTCCCCAGCGGGACCCCGCGCAGCTGGCGCTGCCTTGGGAGCGTTACACACGCACAGGAGAGCAGCCAGGACTTCAGCTGGCTGTCGCTAACCCCAGCACCACTGCCGCCCACAGCCATTGCTGCGTAAGCCATGCCCTTATACCAAAGCAAGGCTGGGGGTGTCTCAGTGGGAGGTTCCAGCCCCCTCCCTCCCCATTGTAGGACTGTCCTGGATCTCCCACACGCTGGGGGCCTGGCCTGCTGGCCCCGTGACACCAGTCGTCCGCACAGCATGATGGTGCCAGCGCAGGAGGGTGCAGCATTGCCACACAAACCCATTGCTGAGGCCACCTGCAGCATGCTCCATACACTGTTACTGCCCTGGGGTAATGCCGTCGGTTACTACCCCTGTTCCCAGCTGGGGAAACTGAGGCAGGGAGGCGCTGAGTGGCTTGCCCAAGGTGTCATGAGTGGAATGCAGGGCTCTTGGCTCCCTGGTCCTGCTGGAACCACTAGCCATGCTGCCTGCCTTTGCTCGCTGATCGCCCCGCGGGTCACCGTGAGGGCAGCTGGGGCACGGGGCGGTGCTGGGATGAGGAGCAGGGAGCGTTCCCAGCTCTTGGGATATGGGACACGTCAGGCACTTGACTGGGACCAGTCCTGCCCCACGTCCCATTGTGGGATGCCCCCACCCCCTCGGTACCTGACCTCAGGCAGAGGGGTAGCTGTTAGCCCATTGGGATGGGGTGTTCCAGTGTGTGATGGGGGGCTGAAGGGCTGGGATGGGGCCGGCATGGTGGGAAGGCAGGGAGGGGGGTATCCAGTGCTGGGGGGGTGAGGAGCTGGGATGGGGCGAGCATGGTGGGGGCAGGGAGGGGAGTATCCAGTGCTGGTGGGGAGCGGGGGTTGAGGAGCTGAGGGGGGCAGGGTGGGGGGTATCTGGAGTGTGAAAGGTTCAGTGGAAGTGGCTCAAGAGTGTATTGAACCCACGCCCTGCGGACAGGCGCTGATCCTGCTGCTGTCATTCTCCCTGGTCCTTTCAGCCTGAGCCGTTAAATGGCTGCCAAGAGCCTTCACGTGGGTGTGGCGCAGGGACTTTTCTGCTGGCCCTGACTTGGGGCTGCGTCGGGGCCAGGCCATCCTCCAGTTCCACGGGCAGGGCCCTGGCTCCCGGGCAGGCTGAGCAATAGCAAGGCCCCTCTGTGCCCTGAGGGAATAGCTTGGGCAGGCGCTCCGTGGGGGGCTGGGACGCCCTGCTCCCGCCCCATGCACAGCAGGGACAGCAGAGGTGCCCTGTCCTGAGCGAGTCTCTGGCTCCTTTCTCCCTCATGCACGGGTCACTTCTAATAGGACCTGCACCAAAAGCAGGGTAGGAGCCATCCTCTCATCCAATTCGCTGAGGCTGGCACTGCAAGCCATATGCCAAGGCCCATGGGCAGGGTGATGGGGCTCTGCGGATGTAGGGGGGCTCCCTCTCCCATATAAAACACCATAGACCCAAATGAATCCTAGACCAGCTGGTTCAGAGGCAAGGAACAGGAGACCAGACAGCCTGGGCTAACACAGGACACTGCAGTACCGCCCCACTGCACACACCCCGCCCTTCCCCCAGACCCACATTGCACCCCCATTGCAGTCCCCCATCCTGCACCTCCTGCTGTAACTGCTGACGCTCTGATGGAGGGCACAGGATTCCCAGCCGGGATCAGCCTGCCCCAGGCTGGTTCCCTGTTGTTACAGACAGGAATGGACCTCGGCCATGTCTCTCTTTTGCCCCATCCCACAACCCCCCCAGACCTGGCCTTCGCAGCCGGTAGAACCTCTCCCTGTCAGGGCAGGCCTCGCTCTGCTCTTGGCAACTTGGCAGCCTCATGGCTAAATGGTGCCCAGCGCTCCAATCCCAGGGACCAGGCTGTGGGTTTGCATGGTCCCAGCTGATGGTGCAGAGCACCCCCAGCGGAGGGGTTGGCTCCTTGTGGCTGTGTGCACAGTAGTGCGGTGGTGGTGGGGGGGGATTGTCCATGCATGGCTGTAGCTTTTGTGCCTGTCTCTCTGTGCGATGTCTGCTCTATGCAGGCTGGTGGCCGTGGCTGCTGGGGCCTGCTTTCTTGGTAGAGTTATGAGTCCTTGGTGACAAATGCCAAAAGTTTCTTTAGTAGCTTACCCTGACGTCCCAAAGTCCTACACCGACGGGCCAGTCCCGGATGGGGAAAGCAACCCCTCCAGCCCACCCGTCTGGGTTGAGGCGTATCTGCCTGCCCCGCTGAGCACAGCATGGCCACTTGTCTGCCAAGGGACTGCCTCAGAGCACAACAAACCACCTGGACAGCCCATCCTGTGGACTGGCCACCGTAGGGTTCTGCAGCTGCCTGGCCACTGTGGGGAGCTGGAGTGTCCAGTGGGGCAAGGAGCTGGGGGTCCAAGGAACCCAGCAGCTGCAGTGCAGACATCTCCACGCAGCAGCTGGGTCTGGGGACTCCCAAACGGCCTGGGCACTGAAGTTCTTCTCCCCCCAGCCCGGCTCCAGGCCCCCGAGTGCAGGGCAGGGCTCAGCAGGCGGCATGTCGAGAGACTCACACACACTCGCTCTCTCTTTCCTGTGCAGGGGGAGCAGTGACCATGGTGGAGTGGGAAGCCCTTGCATTCGCACTGTAGAGTGTAAAGTGCTGGGAAGGACCCTGGCGTGCGCTGCAGATGGTGCAGGATGAGAGCAGGCAAGTAAGGGGAGCAGGTGGGGGACAGGTGACTGGAATTAATGTCTGTCTGTCTGTGTGTCCTCGCTGTCCTTCTCTGCCTCTGTGTGGTCTCTGGCTTGGCTGTCTGTCTGTCTCCCGTGCTGCGCAGGGCGAGATGATTGACCGCATTGAGTACAACGTTGAGCACTCTGTGGACTACGTGGAGCGGGCTGTGTCTGACACCAAAAAGGCTGTTAAGTACCAGAGCAAAGCCAGGCGGGTGAGTAGCGTGTGCGGTCCTGGGCCTGCAGCCCCTCTCTGCTGTGCCCCAGGGGCTAGGGATGTGCTGCCCACTGCTGGATAGCACACGCCAGGGCTCCTGCTGTGGGGAGCGACCCATCAGCCCCTTGTCCCTAGGGCCCTGCTCCCCATCATCTGGCACAGGGTGCTCCAGCTGCCATGTGGCTGGGCCTGCCTGAATGTGGGCTGGGGAGCGCAGCCCCCCCCCGTGCAGGCCGGGGGAGCAGATGGTGTGGGCTGGAGAGCAGACCCCAGCAGGGCGACAATAACCTCAGCGACAGTTATTGTTATCCCAAGACATGGGCAGTGCTGAGAGCGGAGAAGGGCTCCAGCTGGTGGCAGAGCGAGAAGGCGTTAGGGCCGGGCCTGCACACTAGACTGGGCCCAGGAAATGAGCCAGGCTGCAGGGCTCAGCTCTGGAGAAGGCCTAGCTGTGCCATGCCAGCTCCTGGGGAGGGACAATTTCCTTCCCTTCAGAATGGGCCGGAGCAGACCTGGGTCTGGCCTGTCCGACCGGTCGGGGACTCAATGTGGAGAGGAGCATGTGGGGTCCGGCCAGAGAGCGCAGCATGGGTGGGGGACGTGGCAGTTCCCACCCAGGGCGCAGCCTGCTGGGCGTGGAGATGGGGGGGATGTGGCAGCTAACAGGGAGAAGCTGGCCAGGAGTGGAGTGGCGGACGTGGCAGCTGGGTGGGGAGGCTCTCTTAGGCAGAAGCGGCTCCGTCCTGCTCCCCGCTCGGCTGCCAGGGAGAGCGGCCAAATGTGCGCGGGGGGGGGGAAGGTGCAGGGAGAGGACAGACCCTCCCCCCTGCAGGTACCGTGGGATGGAGAGGGGGTCAGCGGGCAGAGGAGACACGTGGGGTGGTCATGTGCCCCCACCTTTTAGATTGTGCCCCCCCAATATGGAGAGGCACGAGTCGTCTATGCTGGCGGGAAGTCGGGACTCGCAGCCCGAACAGGCAGGCCCACGCCGTCTGCAATTGCCAGAACAAATAGCGCAACTGGCTGCTGCCCTGCCCCAGTTACACCCCAGCCCTCCGGTACCACTGCCGCCAGGGCTGTGGGCTTCGGGCTGTGGGCTTCGCCCCAGACCAGCTGGGATTTGTCACACGGCATCAGAGCATCCGGTGGCTAGTCCAGGTGGCCACAGGCTGCTGCTCCAGAGCCTGGCTGGTTCTCTAGTGCCATGTGGGGGGTGGTCTTTGGTGACTCACAAGGACCCCTCCTGCCCGGAAGCGTGAGCACAAGGAACACCCCGGAGATGCCCTGGCAAGGTGCTGTGGGGGCGTTTCTAGACCCTTGGACAATGTGTCCATCCCTCTCGGGGCACCTCGGTTCAGGCCTCATGGCACTGGGCTCTCAGTGACCACGCCTGGCCCTGAGCCCTCAGGCATGAGCAGCCACAGACGCCACAGACGGAGGCCAGGTTCGCAGCAGCCTAATGAGCAGAGAATGACTCCCACGCTGGAGGGGACAGGGGAGGGGGGGACAGAATGGGCTGGCTGGGGCTAGGCCTGTCCAAGCCTCGGGGCCACAGGGTGCATTCCCCCTCTCCTCCAGCCCTCTGGCTTCGAGGCAGTGGGGCGAGCAAGGCCCTCCTGAGAGCTACCAAGCGAACATGGGCTGAGCCCACCCCCGGTGCTCTGCAGCCTGGGCCCAGCCCAGCGCTGCCCTGCAGGCATGTCTCTGACGCCCCGTGTGCCCGGCTTTGCACTGAGGGAGCCCCTGGCTGGGTCAGGAGGGCCCAGGGATCCCGGTTGGCCTGGCACTGACGTGCTCTCCAGGCAGGAGAGAACTTGCAGTAGTTCTGCCCCCGGTGGCTGCGTGGTCGGAGGGGGGGTCTCAGCCCTGCCCCCGGGCTGCAGAACAGGCTCAGTCCAGCTGGTGAGACAGAGATGCTGGGGGATCCTGTATCTGGCTGAGCCGGGGTTTCAGGTGGGCACAGCCCTGCAGGGGGCACTGGGCAGTTAAGGGGCTCGTCCTGGGTGCTGGGGTTTGGATTGTAACCTCTCCCCCTCTCTCCCTTGTCGGTGCTGTGGGGTGGCCTGAGCAGAAGAAGATCATGATCATTATCTGCTGCGTGGTCCTGGGCATCGTTATTGCCTCCACCTTCGGCGGCATTTTCGGATAGACCTTGCCAAGGCGAAACTTTCTCTGTAGACAATGCGATGGAGCTGCCGAGCTGTCAGGGCCCAGCCGCGCCCAAGGGGGACCAAGCCCTGCAGCCGCCAGGGAGGGGCCTTCCCAGCAGAATTTCAGTTTCTAATGCATGATCGTTTTGTAACACTGTGTGTACGGTGCGGTGCGTCTGTGTGGCGAGGGGGCAGGCGGCCAGTGTGGGGGGCTGGGACATGGAGGGAGCTGGGCCCGATGGAGGGCAGAGCACGCATGCGGCACTGAGCCTAAAGCAAGGCAGCCAGCTGGCGCAGTGGGGGGAGGAGGGAGGCAAGCTGCCCTCACGTAGTGAGTCTCCTAGCACTGTGCCAGGTGCAGGACAGCAGGGCATGCCAATGGCGCTGGGCGAGGGAGAGCAAGGGGCAGTGCTGTGTCCCCCCACAGAGCAGAGTGCTAGCCAGCCAGTCCCCACCCAACTTTGTAGCCTGGCACTGCCAGTGGGTGTTCAGTCATAGCTCCTGCATCTGCTCTGCCAGGGCATTACTGACAAAGTGCCACATCCCTCTGCCTGCTCCCTGCAGTGCCCCCCTCCCTAGGGTACGCCTGGCCTGCATCTACCCCCTGCTGCTCCCTGCAGTGCCCCCCTCCTCCAGCCATATCTGACACTGCACCCACCCCCGCTGCTCCCAGCAGTGTCCTCCTCCCCAGGGCACATCTGGCACTGCACCTACCCCTCTGCGGCTCCCTGCAGTGCCTCCCTCCGCCATACGTGGCACTGCACCCACACTGCTGCTTCCCGCAGTGGCCCCCCCCACCCCCGGAGCATTGCAGACAAAGCGCCACACACCCCACAGTGCCTCCCTTCCCCGGCCATACCTGGCACTGCTTCCACCCCGTTGCTTCCCACAGTGCCCCCCTCCCCAGAGCATTGCTGACAAAGCGACACACACACCCTGCCTGTTCCCCACAGTGCTCCCTCCCCCGGCCATACCTGCCACTGCACCCACCCCTGCCTGCTCGCTGCAGTGCCCACCTCCGCTGGCCCTGACCTCCCCTCTCTGGCTGTTTGGTGCAAGGCCCAGTCCCTGGTGCTGCCCCTTCCCCTCCCCTCTGGCTGGCTGCAGGGGGCTCATTTCCCTTTGCTGCTGCCCTGCTGTTGCTGGAGGGTGTTTTCCGCAAGGCTGGGCCTATGTTGCAGCCGTTCCTGTGTGGTTGGCTGGGCCCAGTTCCATGGGGGCCGGGGGGGGGTTTGTCGGGGTAGGACGGCGTGTGCTCTGCTGCACTGCCCCCCTGGCGAGCACTACGACCCTCCTGTGCTGATGTTTCCCAAGTGCTGGTGCAGGTTCCCTGGGGGGCTGCACCCCTTTAGAATCGGCCCACGGCATCAGCGCTCCCTGGGCTGCTCCATGCCCGCTTGGCCTTGGGGAGATGGGCAGCACCAATCAGGCAGATGGCAAGGAGCTTGGTGGCCACTGCATGCCTGGAGCCACCTCTGGGGCTGGGCAGGAAGCGGCTGACTTGCCTGTGCCACCCACCCAGGAAAGGGGATGAGGCCAGAGCAGAGGCTCAGGCTGTCCTGGGTGTGGGTCACTGGGCAGCCCTTCCAGTGCTGGGGCTCCTGCAGGCAGCTCTCGGCCCTGCCCCTAGCCCCCATCATCTGCCCCCACACCCACTGCGGTAAGGGGCACCAGGGCCCTGCACTGCCTTGTGGCTGCATTCAGCCCTCTGAGGCTGGCACATGGCGGTGGAGAGGTGACCGACTGCTTGGTGCTGCCCCGGAGAGGAATCCTGGCTGCTCTTTCCTGTCCCCCGCCCCGCTGGGCATGGCACTCTGAGCCCCACTCTCTGGGCCACGCAGAGCCCAGGCCTGGCCCCCGTCGCCCCTCCCCTGCGACAGACCTGGGCTCTGTGTCCCAACCGCGCTTGGTTCCCCCAACCCTGCTGTGTCTGGCCAGTTGGGGAAGGGTGCAGGCTGCACATGGGAGCCCGGCAGTCGCCCCCGCCCCCAGGCTGAGGCCCCCACGGAGCAGCCAGGCTCCTGAACTGCCAGTGGGCTGCTGCCGTTCAGTGTTGTAAGCTCTGTCTCTTCCAGCTCCCTAAGGGAGAGTGTTGCAGGGCTGGCTCTGTCCCTCCCCTAGCCGGGGCACCCCCCTCACCTCGGCTGTAATGCAAGAGCCATGCCAGCCCCCTGGCCTTCCTCTAGGGGGTGCCCCAACCTCGCCCCCAGCTCGTCAACACTGAGTGCTCAAGGGACCATTTCACCAAGCCATCCCTGGCTTCAGGGCACCACATCCCCCCACCCCGCCCCAAGGGCTGCGGTGGCAGCCTGCACACCTGCTGGAGGGAGCCCCCAGCGAGAGCCTGGCCCTCTGACCCTTCCCAGCCCTGCAGCTCTGTGTGCCCGGAGATACCTGAGAGCAAGAGCCCAGCTGGGCTCGCCTGCCTGGGGTGGGGCTGTGCCAAGGCCCTGCCTGGATCCCCACAGCGTGTGGAGAGGGGCTTGCCCTGTGCGTGGCAGGCGAGGGCTTTAACTGGAGTTGATCAGCCTATGCCAGTGCCAGATGGTCCGTCCCCAGGCTGGGGGAGCAGCCAGGGGAGCCGGGCCCCACAGACACCAGTCAGTATCCAGCATCAAGGCCTGACCTGCAACGGAGTCACCACCGCAGCTGTGGGGCTCTGAGGGTCTGTCCGTCCCTGCCCCACCCGGCCCACGTTTGGCTTCAGTCCTGCAATGCCATCACCAGAGCACCTGCTCCCTGGGAGACAGCCAGGCAGGGGCTATGCTGGCACCTCCTGGCCCCAAGGGCAGAGGGGAGCAAAGGGAGCACACCCCATTGAACTAGCATAACACCCCTTGAAAGCCAAATCCCCAGTGACTGCCTGAGGCTGCGCTGCGACTAGTGGCAGGGGTGGCCAGGGGGAAGGCTGCACAGGTGGGTTCTGTCATGCCAGTGTGTGTCACGCCCAGCTGTGTAGCTGGCCTGGGTCCAGCCTGGGTGGTGTGCTGCTGGGACTGTGGGGTCAGGGGTTGTGCCGCACGCGGCAAGCGCAGGGGCTGTGACCAGGTGCGACTCATACCCCCACCCCCAGCACTGCTGGGTGGGGCTGGCCCTTAGCACCCTGGGGAGGGGAGCCGAGGGGCTGTACCTGGAGGGTGACCAGCCCTAGCAGGCAGGGCTCACATGATGCCGAGATTTGAGGTAGGCAGGTGGCTTTCAGGAGATCCAGCTGAGCTGCATCCCACCAGGCTGAATGGAGACTGGGCTGACCCAGGCCTGCTGGGCACCATGTGCTGGGGCACAGTGGGACACTGGCCACCCAGCCTCCGCCTTGGTGTGATAACACCTGTGCTGCAGTATTTAGTCCCCATCCCCCTCCATAGGCCCCAACCTGCTGAGTTGGCCTAAATGAGTGTCCCCACCTTGCACCACCAGTACTGAAGGCCCTGCAAAGCACCTGCAATTCCCAGGGTGCCAGGTACAGCATGGGTATCAGGGTATATCTGGCTGCTGCCACATGAGGCGTAAACTCCAGCCCCCTTCCCCAGCAGCCCGGGGGCCACTGGGAGAGAAAAGCAGCATGTGTTTGGTTTTGGCTGGTGCTTGGCCAAGCTGCTGCTGGTGCCTGCAGCCGTGGCAGGGCAGGCCGAAGATCGCGCTAGAACAGCTGGGCTGGGCTCGGCTCCCTCCAGGTAACCAGCCTCTGGCATTGCGCAGCTTGAGTCCCACATGGGTTCTGGGCCTAACCCTGGTGTAGTCCTAAGCTGCTAGCAGCTACGTCACAGCAAGCTTGAGAAATGGGCAGGGTCAAGTGTCATCCTCCCCCTGGCCCTGGCAGCCCTGCTGGGGGAGAAGGGCTGCATATGGTCACACACGCTGCCTTTGGGCACATTCAGCCAGTGGCAGCTGCTCCTGGCCTAGGCTGGGGCCTGGATTCTAGGCACCAACGCATCTGCCCCCCTAGCAGAGAGATTTAATACTATGCTGCTTTGCTCTGCCTCATGCAAAGCCTGGCCCACGCGACCGCCAGGGAAGGGCTCCTGCCGTAGGCAAGCAATAACGGGCTGCCAGCATGACAGCTCTTGGTGAGCAAGGACTGGTGGTCGCCCCTTCAAAAAATGCAGCTGCTGTGGAGGCTGACCAGCTATTTCCTCCTAAACACCCCTTGCGGAGGCAGAAGGCTCCGCAGCACCTTTGCAGCCTTTAGTAGCAGGGCTAGAACACCGGCCGGGGTGAGCCAGACAGCCCTGCCTCCCATCCTCAGGTGCAGGGGCTGCATTAGACCCTGCTGCAGGGACTCTCTGCACTCAGCACACCACCCTGCTGCCAGAACAGCTGAGCATGCGTGGGGGGGGGGGGGGGGGGGGAGACGGACAGTGAGGAAACCAGCAATACAAACTGGGGACACAGCAATACAGCAAGTGGGCTTCTGCCCAGCTAGGGCTCCCCTCCCAGCAGCTGCTCTGTCAGGAGCTGACATAACCACCAACCAGTGGGGCTGAGAAGCCTACAGCAGGCACAGCTAAGGGCATTCTCTAGGGGATAGGGGAGGGAAGGTGGGTTGGTGCAATAGTGCAATCCCTGCACCTCGGGGAGCCCTGGCCTGTCCCACGAGGGGATGCAATTAGCCATGCTGGGTTTGGGCGTGGGGAAGATGTTTTACTTTTCCTTTGGAAACACATCTTTTCTCAAGAAGCATCTGTCCTATGTGCCCCTAGGCCTCCCAGCGCCAGGGGCTTGACACAGTATTTCAGGAGCAAGGGAGGGGAGGGGGTACATGCAGCTTTCACTCATACTGGGGATTTGTTTTTTAATTAATGTACTTGAAAGAGTTCAGAGCAACCCCTTGGTTGTAACGTCGCTGTACCGTGAGCTAAGTGTCCTTGTTTTCTATGTGGATCTTGAACCCGACTTGCTCTGTTCCCATGGTTAGAACAACATTGTACGTTGTCTCCTGTCTACGTCCAGCTCCCATCCCACCCCCAGCTCGCTCGTCGCCCCCAGCTTTGGGTGCAAAACAGCTTCCCATTTGGTGGAATTTTTATGTAGAATAAACATTTGTAGCCGTAAACCCAGAAGTGGGCTCCTCACTCTGTTGCGGCTGAGGGGAGGGACGAACAGAGGGCACCTCCACTGGCTGGCTGGGCCTGGCCGTGCTGCAGCCAGGAACAGAAGTGTTCCTCCAAGGGCCCGTTGAAGCCCTCAGCTAAAGGAGGAATGGGCTCCTGTGGGGTGGGCAGCATACAGCAGCCCCCCACCTCCAGCTGCCAACCCGAGTGCTGCAGAAGTGCTTATTCTGGTCCACTGGTGGGTTTTCTCAGTGCTCACTGAGCATATGCCACACAACCGGAGTATGTAACCTGCAGCAGCCAAGCAGAGGGCACAGCACTGTGCAAATACTCCTGTGAACCAGGGAGGAGCAGCGGAGACCAGCACTAGGTCCATTAGCCCTTGCTGTGTACAGAACCACCCCTGGAAAGATGACAGCTCTGCAGTACTCGGAACCAAGGGCCTATTTACTGAGTAGGCTGGAAGCTCAGCAGGAAAGGTCCCATCACCCAGGGCACTTTGCACCCAGTACTGGGGCAGGCTGCCCACCAGCGTTTCTGACCCCCCTCCATTTGGCTCTCATAACAGATGGCTAAAGAAAGGGGGTCTACAAGTGGCTGGCTCAATGTCAGCACCCAGCACATAAAAATAGATGCAGTGAGTCTGTTCCTGACCGGCATCATCCCATTAAATACGACCAGAAGCATCAAATGGGATCCTGGACAGCAGCAGAGATGGCCCAGCCTCCCGTTGCAAGGGCCACAAACAGACCCGCTCCATACAAGCAGCTTTCAGACCAGGGGGTCCATCCAGGGAAGTTCCACAGGGGCTGTTGCATGGCGACCACCGAGCTGGACTATGCGGGGTAGTCAGAAGCGAGGCCGCCGCTTTCGGCCAGTGTATCTCGTATCCGCCCTCACTTCCCTGCAGAGCACAGAACAGATCACGCTGTAGGGAGGGATGTGGGCTATAAGCGAATCAGGCCACAGAGCTGGAAGGGCCAGAGCCTCCACCAGGAGAGGGGTCAGCAGAAGCATTAGAACAGGCTTGCACCAGGACAAAAGGGCTGTGGCCATGCTGCCCAAAGGCAGGTAATGGCTACAGTGAAACTGAATTGCTGATGTCCTTGTTACCATGCCCTGAAACAATGGTGGTAGCCACTGTCTGCATGGGAGATAGAGGCGGCCGGGTTACAGCCCGTACAATGCCCGCTACTCGCTCCCTCCCACCCATGGGAACCCGGGCAAAGGGAGGCACCATGGTACGTACTTGCCCTGCCGCCGTCTGCGTTCCTTCTTCTCCAAGACCCAGTCCCGGCTTTTCTTTACAGACTTGCCTTTGGCATTTCTGAACCGTGTTCTACAGAGAAACAGAAATGATGGCGCTGATGGGGGTCCACGCAAGGAGGATCAGTCACTCCGCTGCCTCTGGAGGGCTCTGGGATTCAGTTCCTAGAACAGGACAGCTCTTGTTCCCATGTGTCAGGGCAGTGAGCACTGGCCAGTTATCCCCAGCCCCTCTCAGGCCAGCCAGGACAATGACAGGCCAGGTGCGGGGAAGGCTGGAAGCTACGGCAGCGAGAAGCGGCATGGGCAAGCAGCACTGGCCGAAGCAGGATGCAGATGCAGGCAAGGAAAATGGTGACAAGGCCTCAGTCAAGGCAACCCATGCCTCCAGCAGCGGGGCAGGGCTGAGTGCTTTCCCCATGTGCTCTGCGGGAGCACAGACAGGCAGGGCATCAGCACCACAGGGGGGTAGAATACTCCACAAAAAAGCAGTCAGCCGTCACCTCAGCTTAGAGAGGAATGCACCTGGGTGGGGACTGCGCATCCCAGCATGCAGGGCATTATCAGACTCTAGTCTGACAGCCAATTGGGAACCAGGGGTCTCCATGGGACATAACCCCTGATTACAGAGGAAGGCAACTGCATTCTGGTCTTTTTTAAGCAAGTTGCCAGGACGCTGCCTCGGTAATTAGGAGCCATACGCTGGGTACTGTTAAGGAGTGGAACAGTGTCAGAGGCAGGAAAACATGGCAACCAACAGCTCCTGGCAACCACGACGACTATCCTCTGGCTGGTGCTCTCAGTCTCTCCTACTGGCTGCAAGGGGAGCTTTGCCCTGCACCACCACCTAGGGAGGAGACATGCCAACAGCAGAGAAATGCACCATACCCAGAAAGCCCAGCATCACAAGAGACACGGCCAAACAGCTGAGAAGGAAGGGAATTTAGGGCTACACAGGGTAACTTACTGGCACAATTATACCAGTATGACTGCCCATGTGGACATTCTTATGCCAGTGAATGTCCCCATGCAGACAAGCCCTGGGCCGGCCGGCCTGAACAGTTACCACGCACTGAACTCCAAGAACACTGGGGAGAAAGGACATCTTAAAAATCCAACAGCCCCACTCCACTTCATGCCCAAACGCTCATGACTCAGCCCCACCCCAGAGTTCTCCCAGCCAAGATCAGGCTGGATGATCTAAGGTATAAACAAGCAGAACAGACCCCTTCGGGCCATCTTATATGCCATAAAGTAGCTAAATCTTCTGCTACTCCACAGTGGCCTAAACCATGCCAGCCCTGAGCTGGCTGACTGGAAATGGCTGGGTATACCTATCTCATAGAACTGGAAGGGACCCTGAAAGGTCATTGAGTCCAGCCCCCTGCCTTCACTAGCAGGACCAAGTACTGATTTTCCCCCAGATCCCTAAGTGGCCCCCTCAAGGACTGAACTCACAACCCTGGGTTTAGCAGATCAATGCTCAAACCACTGAGCTATCCCTCCCTCCCCAGGCCAAGGCAATCCTGAAACTGAGCACCCAGAGCTAGAGCCCTCCCACCGCAGGGTCCTGGCCCTCCAGCTCCCTGACTCCACAGGCCAGCGTCAGTGACACCCCCATCCCCACTAGCCAGGCCCCCAGAGGCGGTCTCTCTCCTGGGGAGGACCTTGGTGAACATGGTACCTTTCATTGGTGAACTTGGCCTGCTGGGACTCCTCTCCATCAGCGCACTCAGCACCAAGGGCCTGGAAGCACAAAGCGATGGGCCTCAGTGCCACAAAGCGCAGCACCAGCCGCCACTCCCGGGCAGAAGGGGGGCTCTGCAAGAGCGAGGACTGGAACGAGGCCCGACTCAGCAAGTCTCAGGGACAGGCTGCGCCGTAGGGAAGGAGCAAACTGACCTTCCAGTGCTTGAGGCAAAACCAGGCCAGCCCCGAGCTGGCTCAATGGAAGGTCTGGGACAGGATGAGCCAAGGTTAGGCAAGTGAGCAAGGCAATCCTGGTACTAAGGACACAGGGTTAGGCCCCTCTCCCATAGTGCTTCTGGGAAGGGACCAGTGCACGATGGGGGGCCACATCAGACTTCAGGCACAAAGGCCACTGGAGCTGCACAATCAGGGATGGCAATCAGCCCCTCTGTGCAGATCCCTTTTCCAAAGGTTTGATTCTGAAGCCCAGGTCGGCCCCCTGGCGGGACGATGTCACACAGCCTGCTGGAGCCTCTGGCCAGGCTCCCTCTGTTCAGGTTACCTAGCAACCACACCCACCAAAAGAGCATCCCTCAGCAGGAGACCCTGAGCACTCCGCCCCCTGCTCCCACCCACTTTGCCAGCTGCGCCATCGTCTCTGAGCCACAGCTCATTACCTTTGGTAACGCACCAGCCGTCCCAACAAAGAGACAGAGGAAGAACCTGAAAGAGTGAGAGAGAGGAGATGAGATTCCCGGGCCTCAGGTTGGGAGTCTGGGACTCTGAACATCCAGAGGCCTAGTCAAGAGCTTCCCACACAGCTTCCAGAAGCCGACTTGAGGCCAAGTGTCCTTCACAGATCAGTACCAGGGTCTGTAACAGGAACTCCTGCCTCTGTCATGGGGCAGTATTTCCATACGGGGGATACACACAGCCATGTCAGAGAGTCCAGTAAAGTAATACACTACAAGGCTCATCACAGCACAGGTCACACTCAGTGGCCTCAGCCCAGCAGGAAACAACTCACTTCTTGGCTTTGGCGCTGTTGGGATAATCCACCACCATTCCTCCCGTGAACCCTGCCTTCATGGCCTGCGCAGTGATGAGCTCCAGCTGGCAGAGAGAGAGAGAACATGCTGTCAGGAACTGTTCGGCCATCACCTGCCTGCCCATGGCTCCTCGAGGCCCCGGCTCTTCACCAGTACCAGTGAACAGACCTCTGGGAAATCTTGCAATCCAAATGCTCAACCCTGTTCTGTTGGGCCCTTAAAGCAGCCCATCTTCACACACCCACCTCAGCTCCCAACACCCCCTGGAAAAACAGCCAAGTTTTGAGCAGGGCTTCTCTGCCTCATCCCTCCCTGCATCCCCTCTCCCCGTCAGCCAAAGTCACCTGTTCTGAGTTTTCAGGGTACAACTGCAGGATGGCTCGGGATCCTCGGGCCTACAGGAAACAAAAGTGATTATAAACCCCTGTTCCAGACCAGGCTTTCCCTCCCGGCACACAGTCTCCCAGCCCAACATGGCATAATCAGAACTGGGAGTTCTTGCTAATGGTGCATGGACATTACTACCCACTACAGCCAGAATAGCCTGCTGGGGAACATCACCTGAAAGAGGACATTCTTTCCCTTGACATTCTGGGAGAAGGAAGGGGCGGCTGGCTGGCTGAGAAGGCACCACTTACCAAAACAGAATAAAGGGTTAAGAAAACTCACAGTTCCAGGGTAACTGCACCTGTTTCCCCCGAGATCCATCAAGGGCACCCAAAAGCTTCTAGCTCTCTTGGGCAGAGACCCCCGTCTCTCTCCCTCAGCCGGGTTTTTCCAAGCTGCACAGTTCACTGCCTACACCAGGGGTAGGCAACCTATGGCACGCGTGCCAAAGGCGGCACGCGAGCTGATTTTCAGTGGCACTCACACTGCCCGGGTCCTGGCCACCGGTCCGGGGGGCTCTGCATTTTAATTTAATTTTAAATGAAGCTTCTTAAACATTTTAAAAACCTTATTTACTTTACATACAACAATAGTTTATTATATATTATAGATTTAGAGAAAGAGACCTTCTAAAAATGTTAAAATGTATTACTGGCACGCAAAACCTTAAATTAGAGTGAATAAATGAAGACTCGGCACCCCACTTCTGAAAGGTTGCTGACCTCTGGCCTACACTGTGATATTCCCAGCAAGCCAGATGCCTAAACAGACCAGCGTCTGCGCTTTACTTTCGCTCCAAAGGCTCTGAACAGCGTATTTACCAGGAGTTACAAGTTACCACGCAGCTCTTTCTAAGCAAGCACATTTATTCTGACATTGCAGAGAAAACATATTAAAACAATACAAGGTTACATACAATCCCACCCACAATACACTAATTACAATAAGGTTTTTCAAGGACATTGCAGGAAATGGCCATATCTGTCACTCACCACTTACCAAGGCAGAATAAAGGGTTGAGAAGAATCGATACAGGCGTTTTGGGGGACTGTGTGTCTTCTTATCAGCATTACAGAGCCATTGCACTGCAGAAATACTGAAAGAGAATGCGTGACCTAAGTGACACTGAGCCACCAAGCCTCCCATGTGAGCAACCAAAGCCACATTCTTTAACAAAGACTCAAGTCCCCTAACATCCTCCTTCTACCAGTGCCCCTCATACCTATTCTATAGTCCAAGATAGCATGTGACGAACTGTTGGGCCCAAGACAACTACTGCATTTGCTTCATCAGTGCATTGCCTCCTACTTTTCAGGAGCAAAGGTGTTGTATAACCCCATTCTAAAGAGATGCTGTCTAGCTCAGGAAGTCACATATTTGATTTGCAAGTCACTTGGTGTACTTATCTGTCAGATCTAGATTCTGCAGAATGCAAGCTTTCATTCAGAGTTTCTAGTCCTTATGGTTACAAAACCTGCCAGATTTGAGTGGATGTAGTGCAACCGTAGACCATTGAAGACAGGAGTGCTGAGAGAGAGATTTATAGAAATGGTGGGGGTCACTCTGGACCCCAGCAATGACACCTCAAGGGCATTCGACAATAACCAGAGTCCATAATTGTGGGTGATGCTGTGTGAGGAAGTAGGAATTTCCTGTAGTATTATGGATCTTATCTGTGCCTCAGTTTCCTCCCGTACCTTCCACTGCTATTCAGCGGGGGCTAAAAGGCTAAGTCTGCTCTTGGGGCAGCAGGAGACATGGGATGGGTGGGTGGGGGGTGTCATCTCGCTGCCTGGGCACAATGAATTTTAAGGAACTGGCTGGAACCTGCTGAAACCAACCCATACCAATTGAGAATCATAGAATATCAGGGTTGGAAGGGACCTCAGGAGGTCATCTAGTCCAACGCCCTGCCCAAAGCAGGACCAATCCCCAACTAAATCATCCCGGCCAGGGCTTTGTCACGCCTGACCTTAAAAACCTCGAAGGAAGGAGCTTCCACCACCTCCCTAGGTAACCCATTCCAGTGCTTCACCACCCTCCTAGTGAAAAATTTTTTTCCTGTTATCCAACCTAAACCTCCCCCACTGCAACTTGAGACCATTACTCCTTGTTCTGTCATCTGCTACCACTGAGAACAGTCTAGAATAGATCCATTCTCTTTGGAACCCCCTTTGAGGTAGTTGAAAGCAGCTATCAAATTCCCCCCCCCCTTCTTTCTGCAGACTAAACAATCCCAGTTCCCTCAGCCTCTTCTCATAAGTCATGTGCTCCAGCCCCCTGATCATTTTTGTTGCCCTCTGCTGGACTCTTTCCAATTTTTCCACATCCTTCTTGTAGTGTGGGGCCCAAAACTGGACACAGTACTCCAGATGAGGCCTCACCAATGTCGAATAGAGGGGAATGATCACGTCCCTCGATCGGCTGGCAATGCACCAACTTATACAGCCCAAAATGCCGTTAGCCTTCTTGGCAACAAGGGCACACTGTCAACTCATATCCAGCTTCTTGTCCACTGTAACCCCTATGTCCTTTTCTGCAGATCTGCTGCCTAGCCATTCGGTCCCTAGTCTGTAACAGCGAATGGGATTCTTTCGTCCTAAGTGCAGGACTCTGCACTTGTCCTTGTTGAACCTCATCAGATTTCTTTTGGCCCAATCCTCTAATTTGTCTAGGTCCCTCTGTATCCTATTCCTACTCTCCAGCGTATCTACCACTCCTCCCAGTTTAGTGTCATCTGCAAATTTTCTGAGGGTGCAGTCCACGCCATCCTCCAGATCATTAATGAAGATATTGAACAAAACCAGCCCCAGGACCGACCCTTGGGGCACTCCGCTTGATATTGGCTGCCAACTAGACATGGAGCCATTGATCACTACCCATTGAGCCCGATGATCTAGCCAGCTTTCTAGCCACCTTATAGTCCATCCAGCCCATACTTCTTTAACTTGCTGGCAAGAATACTGTGGGAGACCATATCAAAAGCTTTGCTAAAGTCAAGGAATAACACGTCCACTGCTTTCCCCTCATCCACAGAGCCAGTTATCTCCTCATAGAAGGCAATTAATTTAGTCAAGCATGACTTGCCCTTGGTGAATCCATGCTGACTGCTCCTGATCACTTTCGTCTCCTGAAAGTGCTTCAGAATTGATTCCTTGAGGACCTGCTCCATGATTTTTCCAGGGACTGAGGTGAGGCTGACTGGCCTGTAGTTCCCCGGATCCTCCTTCCTCCCCTTTTTAAAGATGGACACTACATTAGCCTTTTTCCAGTCATCCGGGACCTCCCCCGATCGCCATGAGTTTTCAAAGATAATGGCCAATGGCTCTGCAATCACATCCGCCAACTCCTTTAGCACCCTCAGATACAGTACATCCGGCCCCATAGACTTGCACTCATCCAACTTTTCTAAATAGTCCTGAACCACTTCTTTCTCCACAGAGGGCTGGTCACCTCCTCCCCATGCTGTGCTGCCCAGTGCAGAAGTCTGGGAGCTGACCCCAAAGAGGCAATGGGAAGCCCCAGTGACCAGACAATTCACACCTAGCAAACAACCATCAAGAGGAAGTTTTCCCCCCCACCTCTCAGCAGGGAAGCTGAACAGAGGCCAGCTCCAGAACAAGGGACTAAGAGGTACCAGGCAGGGAATAAAGAGTAGCTTTTGGGAGAGGCTGGGCTGCTTTCCCTGTGGAGGGGCAAAGGGACCGAGAGCCTAAAATGGAATCTGGAGCAGCTTGGCTGGCGGATTGCTCTGGCCTGACCAGATGCACTATATCTTAACCTTGATTTCTCTGTGCTAACCTAAGGACTCCCGACGATGCGTTCCAGATGACTAATAAACCCTATTCTGCTTTGAAAATGCTGCCTGGTGTCACTGCAAATACCTGCTGAGGTGCAGTAGTCCCTGACCAGTGTAAAAGTGTGACCAGAAGTCTAGCGCAGTCGGACTCACTATGGTGTGAATCACAAGTGCTGGACCCAGGGGCACATCAGAGGCGGTGAGGCTGCAGGCCTGCGCTGAAGAAAGATTGGGGCCCTTTGGGGATCTGGCACACCAAAGGGGTTTAAAAGCTGGGGCACAGCACAGATCCTATGGATCTGTGACATGCTGAATATAACAGCAGCATTAACTAGCGAACAGGTTATATACTTGGGCAAACCACCCGTTAGTGTCAGTGGGAGCCCCTCTGTGGCTCAGGGGTTCTGACCCTTCCCATCCCTCCCCAAATGAGCACCATGCCCATGATCTAGTTTCTTATGCCATGCTCAGCACAGGTAGTCAGCACCTTCTGCTAGCCTTAGTTATCAGTGACTCTCAGCCATTCCTCGATTTTTGGATAAGCCATTCCCTGTTTTCACAGTCCAGTATTATGAGAGTCAAAGGTAATTTTCCAGCAGCTGCTCCCAAATACGGGAAGAAGCATCCCTAATTCAAAGCCTGTCCAAATTTCAACAACCTGCTATGGTGTGCAAGCTGTGGTAAGGCCAGCTAACAGGGCCAGGCTTATGTTGTGTCTTCCTGCTAGGCAGAGCTCTGAGAACTAAGAGAAGAAAGCAAAGAGCAATGTCTTACCTGACACAGCCATCAAACATGCCTGGCCTGAAGGGAATCCCCTGCCCCATGTCTGCAAGGATGAGGTCTCCTTCCACCTCTCTCTCCATAGCAACATCTGCACAGCACAAAAGACAAGTCAGGCAGATGGCGACAAATCTTCAGATCAGTACCCAGGGCTGCATTTTATACATTTCTATCCCTCCCACTGCACATACGTATTGTCTGCCCACTAGGGCATGCCGTGGAAGAGAATCTGCTTACCCAGCATGGCAGAACTGATGTCCATCCCAACCCAGTGATGTCCCTCTTCAGAGATGTAATCTCCACTCAAACCAGAGCCACAGCTAAAAGCAAAAGAACAGGTCTTAGAAATACAGATCAATCCCAATATCCAGCCCTTTTACTGACTGTGACAGGTTGCATCACAGAAACCCCCTGGAAGCTGCCACCTGATGTGCCAAGACTACTTCTGCCCCTGCTTTCCTGCCCTGGCAGCTTAGGACTTCAGTGCCCTGCCTGGTTTGAGCCAGACCCGCTAGCCTGCTGCAAACCCAGACCCAGGGTCTGAACCACGTCCCCTAACAGCTGTAGGCTTAACTGAAAGCAACTTAAAGGGGGTCTAAAAACCAAATAAATCCATTTTACCCTGTATAAAGGGTAAACTCATAAATTGTTCGCCCTCTATAACACTGATAGAGAGATATGCACAGCTGCCAGTGAGGTAAGGCGGGAGGAGGAAAGCAGCATCCTTACAGTTCTACATGGCTCATATGCAGGGTCTTACCCAACATCCAGAAGGAAACATGGCTGATCTTCTGGCAAGCCCAAAAGCTCCACAGCCCGCTCTGACATCTGTGACTGGATCTCAATCATTCGAGAGCTGAGGAGAAAGAATCCTCCTTAGAATCATAGAATCTCAGGGTTGGAAGGAACCTCAGGAGGTCATCTAGTCCAACCCCCTGCTCAAAGCAGGACCGATCCCCAACTAAATCATTCCAGCCAGGGCTTTGTCAAGCCTGGCCTTAAAAACCTCTAAGGAAGGAGATTCCACCACCTCCCTAGGTAACCCATTTCAGTGCTTCACCACCCTCCTAGTGAAAAAGTTTTTCCTAATATCCAACCTAGACCTCCCCCACTGCAACTTGAGACCATTACTCCTTGTTCACATGAAAACAGTAATGAAATATCTAAGTGGCTTCTGCTACCCAGAATAAAGTCACAGCCAAGGTAACTTCTGGCTCAGACCTTAGTTATTCATGAAGACAATGTAGTATTTGGAAGCACAAGGAAAGGCCTAAGATGGGAACCGGGCTTGTGGTGGAAATTTCTGCATTCCTTTGGGGGCCCATGGGCCCTGCATAAACTGGCTTAGGCTTTTTTCAACCACCTGCTCTTTAGTACCATTGGTCAATACAGCTCTCCACATAATTACTAAGACTGAAGTCAGGCACTCAACTTTGCCTGCTCTACCATTCCTCAGGAGTTAATAGCTAAGAGCACTGCGGCAGATTTCATGCTCACTATGGGGATAGCTGCGCAGTACAAATGGAGAACGCTTGCTGGGAGCAGATTTAAAAATTTTATTAAGATGATGTTAAAAAAAAAAATAGTGAACAGAGTTTGAGCATAGAAGTTTCTGGTTATCAGGGAATAACATACAGATTATCGAGGGTGCAAAGTTTGGCTTTACTACTGCACAGGAGACAGCTTCACACCCATTAACGTCAGCAGAGCAGCTGCACCACAGACCTGCTTGAGATTTTTCACCATGCAATTTAGTTCAGATTGCATTTCTTGGTGCACACTGACACTTTTTGGGACACACGGCAAACGGCACTCCAGATGCTCTGGACATCAGCACAGAGATGGGACAAGACCCATCCTCACCACCTCCACTAGGGACTGGCCATGTGCACCACAGCAAGGGAGCAAACATACAGGGGAAGCGCCCTTACTTCTGGGAGTATTTCCGGGCCTCCGCCTTATCGTAGAACTGCAACAAAAACAAAGCGCGTGAA